CTTTCCATTCGCTTCCCATCCACTTATCTATTGTAATTGAGATCATTCTTACTACGAACTGATTGATCTTTGATGAAAGGTCATTCGATAATTTTATTTGTAAGAAAAATGTGATGGGATTTCAATATAACTGGTTGCGATAATCAACTAGAAATGTTTCTGTGTAGATGTATTCGGAGGAATTACACGTGACTTTGACTTGGCAGTCAGATATAGTACAACTTCAAATGTACATTAAGCAGCGTAGTCGAGATATCCGTTTGCTGACTAAAGAACGAGTGTACTGTGCAGCAGTTCGCTCCGTCTTACTTTATGGCTGTGAAACATGGTAGAAGATATTCGTCGGTTATTGGTTTTCGATCATAGGTGTCTTCGAAGCATTGCCCGCATATCGTGGGACACCCGAGTGAGCAACGCTGTTATTAGCAAACGGGTGCTAGGTAAAAATGTACAACTTCAAATGATAATGTGTATGTGCATTTGTGGTGAAAAAGGAAGATGCGTGAAGAGAACTGCAACTGGATACAAAAAAATCAAGAGTATATTAGAAACAGAGAAAAAACAGATACGCATTACAAAACCCTCAACGTGTACAGTAATAAATGCAAAAAAAAGTGTTTAAGGACAGTTTTTGTGAAGCATATACATCAGTAAAATTGACATGAAACATGTTTGTACTGTTAATAAATTTACTGGTAAAAAATAGACAATTTTTTTTACATTGTGTAACATTTAATACAATATTCAAACTGGGATAATAATAAGTTAAGGAAATAAAGAAATTACAATGAAGCATCACAGTTCTAGAATGTATATTATCTGTTTCTAAATAAAGTGTTTCGTTATTGGTTATCGACTAATACATGACTCATATGAAATGGCAAATCTCTACTACGCATGCGTCTAGTTGCTTCAATCAAACTAATTTCTCTTCGATCTAATTCAACTTGACGTTGTACTTCTAATGTTGCACCTAATGGTTGATTAATATATTTTGGTGCTGGCGTTCCTAAGACTGGACCAATCACTTTTGTACCAAATTGAATAATTCGTTTAGGAAATAATAGTCTTGATTGGACATTGAAAAAATTTTTGTAATAGGCAAAGCCAGTGATCTGATCATAATGGGATAATTAAGAGAATGAAACAAAAAAATATGTAACGTTATTGAAAAAAAATTATGTAAACATTTGTCTGAGTGTTAAGTGAAGCTTGAATTTTTTATTTCACTAGCGAGTTGCAAAATGGTTATTGAGTAGTATATTTAGAAAATTCATAGGATTTCCGAATCCTCAGTGTTGGAGTATAACATAAAGTTGATGTAAATGAAGTTTTGGTATACTTAAATAAATTCTGAAGCAAAATTAGGAAAACTATGTTATGCACTCGCCCAGATATAGCCCAATTTAGGAAATATATGATGCGAAAGACTGTTGATAAATTAGGCTTAAGAGATTTGTTACAAGTTACATCCAAAGTCTAAAGTTGTATGGTTGTTATAACTGCGAAACAGTAGAAATTAACGGTGAGGAATAGTTATTAATCAGTAGAAATGCTGCAGAATCATTCGAGTAAACTATGTTGTTAGTAATTGTAATAATACGAATAGCTACATAGGCTTTTACTGCATTTAGAAAATCAACTGCATTTCAAAACAACATTTACGAGTAATTGGGAGTGATATGCCCCACTCCGGATTAGATGACGATAACAGAGATTTCTATGAAGGACTACAGAAACGATCCGGTTACCGAAACTCAACGAGGCCTGTTGAATAATTAGTAATATATTCCACTGCCATGCGTGGATTTAGACTCAAGATCTCTAAGATCTAATTAGTTTTAAGACTGGTAAAGTGAAAATTTTTATTCAGAGATTTATTTCAGTCAGTCAGTTACAACGTAGAACTTCATACATGAGTACATCAGTTCAGGTTGCCATACTGCATTAGCACACAGACGCAACTGTCAGTTCAAATCCTATAGTGGTAGCGACAATAGAAGTATTAGCAGTAATGGAGAAGACTAGGGTTCGAAGATATGATTCGAGAAGTATAATTCAATGAGATAACTTTAGACAGCGAAAGATACAGATGACGAAGAATTCAGAAGGTTAGAATTTGAAAGAACACAAAGAGTGGATGCACTTGCGCCATTGCAAACAATTTTGAGCCATATCGTTCAAGGTCTCTAACCATTGGTTACTTTCTTCTCGCGGACCCCAACCAGATAGCCTACATCTACCAACATGACTCAGTCCACTTGTCAGTGACTTCATGGATTTCTGCCATGTTTTGGTCTGGCCGCCCCTAACTTTCTTCCAACCTACTCCTACACCACAAAACAAAGCTCGTCGAGGCAGTCGGTGGTTAGGCATTCGTATCACATGTCCCAACCACCTGGAGTGATAAAGTTTCAATACTTCATCTATTGATTTGCCATCCTTACCGAGTAATCGTTTCCTAACAACAGCATTGCTTATTCGAATGTCCCAGGATACGCCAACAATACTTCGGAGACACTGATGATCGAAAACAAGCGACTTACGAATATCTTCTACTCTGATTGGCCATGTTTTGCATGCATATAGTAGGACGGAGCGAACTCCTGCGCAGTACACTCGTCCTTTGGTTAGCAAACGGATATCTCGCAAGTTGGCAAAAGCCAATCGAGCCGTTTGTATCCGCGCTGAGATTTTGTCACGCACCAGGCCATCAGCACTGTTGAGACTCTCAAGATAATTGAAGCGGTCTACACGTTCGACAACTTCACTCCCGAAAGCTTTCTGTAAAACTCATCTGAACTGCAGTCAGTGGGGGCATAAGCAGATACGACGGGTGTCCCTATCTTTCCGAGTTCTTATTGTCCCGTTCAGTTGGACAGCGCACAAACGACTATCTACAGGGATCCAGTCTAGGAGAGCTAGTTCTGCCCTACAACTAAATGCTATGCTTACACCAGCGAGATCCCGGGAAGCAGCATCAGGGCTTCCAGATACATGAATAGTAAATCGAGCTACTTCTTTATTTTGATGCGGTGAAATCAAATTAATGATTTTACTAGGATCCTGTATGCGCATTTCCGAGATGCAGCATACATCTATAGCGCGAGATTCTAATGTCCCATCTAAGGAAGCCTGTTGAAATATTTGGCACAATGTTCAGACATTAAGTGCTCCAACATTAATTTAGAACGGGGTTTCAGGAGACCACGAATATCGTTTCGTGAACTCGCATCGTTTGCATTAGCGGTACGGGGTTATAAAGGAATGTGAGAAGAGTTAATCGTGGAGATAAGAGAGATGTTGAGTGGGAAGGATTTGTTTGTGAACAATTTATTTAGAAATGGAATAGAGTGAAGAAAGCTCTGTCGATTAGCTTTCCATATATAAGTAAAAAGGAGCACCTAAATGTTTATGCGCCACACAAAGCAGTTGAACTACTAAGTACGGGGAACCGTCAACCTACTTTTGAAATGGGATTATTGATACGTTACCGGACTACGTGATTGGCATTTTTTATCACTATTAATATTGCAAATTACATTTATATTGATGTAGGGCCATGATGAAATACTAACTGGAAAAAATATCTGCATCCTATCATTTTACGTAAAATTAGTAGATATTTATCTCACAATGTGGTGAAATTAACTATATATCTTCCATCTATACATTTAGACTTGAAACTATATGTAGGTACTAAACAGCATAAACAAAAAATAGACAAATGTGATAGGAAATAATTGGAATTGTGAGATAGAACCTAGTTAGTATGCGAGGGAACTAAGGCAAACTATTTACATTTCAAGACATCTAGTCATAGGTTGTACTTATCACAGATTAAGAAACCATGGAGCACCGGACAGCTGTTTCGTTTTAGCATGCAACTTCTTAACAAACCAATAAATGAAAGGAAAGTAGGTCACTAACATCCAGACTGAGCCATGTTAGGTGTAGACTACCTGGTTGAGGTTAGTGACGCAGTACAATGACATAGATCATCATTGTTCGTGATGGCGCAGATGCAACCGTTATTTGCCTTCTCTCAAACTCTAATTTCGTGGATTTCTTTACATCTATTTTTTTAAATTTATTTCGCTGGGTTATACTTCACGGATCATACCTTCAAAATCTCTTCGACTACCTATACTACTTCTACTACTATTGGATTTGAGCTGTGCTAATGAGTTGTGACAACTTGAATTGATGTACGTACGTACGAAAATTTATGTTGTAGCTGACTGACTGAATTTTTAGGTTGATGCACGAGAGACTACACAGAACTTACCAAACCGCATATACAAACAAATAAAGATTCCGGAGATGTCATAGCAATCTAAAAAGTTAATTAGTGGATAAAATTGGATATTTACTTCAAAGCCAAATATGTACGGAAATGATTTTCCAGTTATTGGAATATTCATCACATGTGCCACAGGAACCCATGGAATATCCAGAAAATAGGGCACAAAAAATGGGAAAATCAAGTTAAATCTAAGTACAATGTTGAAAGTATCTACGCACAGTAACTTACGGTCCAGAAGGAAGTATATGAAGTGAGAAGTTTAATTTTCTTAAGATAAAAGCCATCAATAGTTCAACTAGTGTTGTTGTTGTGGCACAATAAAATAGAAATGACTGTAAATATGCTTTAATAATAGGCAAACAAAAGAGAACTTGCCAAGAATTTTCTTGGTCCGTAACGTCGTTCAAATATTCGGAAATAGTACAATAGTAAACCACCGCATACTAGATCTTTCGTACTAAGAAAAGGTAGTTGACATAATGTTAATCTCCATATCTGATGTGTGAGATCGTTTTATAGGGGAAAAAGTAAGATAGTTGTATCTAATACTAACCGATCCATTTTCGAAAATATCATCTAAATTAAAGATAAATATATCCTTTTGTTTTGAAAACGGCATTAACAAAATAAAGGAGAATATCACACTGAATGCCAGAAAACATTTGGTAATGGTAGTTTTGTCTGGAAAAAAATTAGTCCAAGTAAGCAAATTAGTAGTAAATCAATCAGAAGTTGTATGACAAAATTTACAGATAAATTAACGTATAAAATTACGTTTTGTAGGTCTATAGTTTACCTCTTTACACAGGTAACTCGGATGAACCCTTTTTCAATTTGTGAAGTTCAGACAAGTGGAAATGAACATTAAGTTATACAGTCTAGTACTTCTGACATTTGGACTTTACCAAGCATGATCGAAGCCTAAAAGAGTGAGGAAAACCGATTTATTATTCAGTCTCCCATAAATCCTTGTTCCTAACCTTTAGTTTTCAGATTTTATCTACTTAATTTTTAAGATAGTACATCAAACAGTACCATTAACTCTTCTGTGTGGTGTAAGTCAATAAAAATTAAGTTAGAAAACCAGAGGCGGACAAATCAAGTAAAGTCGTCAGTTTATGAACTTATTAACTGTTGGACTGCCGTACAGTTGAATCAGTGGAAAGGGACAGACGAATTGACCCAGATTCAATCAATCGCCCATATTCATTGGATCTTTAAAAACTTCCCTTATAATAAGGGTTTTGATTTTATTTCGTACATCCTACTTCTGGAGTTCATTCTTTCTAGGTGTATTCCTTCCCATTATCATTCGTACTATTGTCGTTTAGTCTAACTTTACAGAGTCGTACTAATGTGATATAGAAACTCGGGCTATTGCTATATTGTGTTAGACTTAATTGTGAATAAACTGCAAATGGTTACCTACAGACCACCAATAAAGTAAGTGTAGACTAGGAGGGGCCTGTCAAATTTTGAAATTAATGAGAACTTCAGTTGTGCAAAGTACGTGTTTAGTTTCAGTACTGCAGCAGAATGATGTAGCCCGCATTGTTAACTTTGACAATGTAAAAACAATATCGGTATAAAAGATAACCTAAATATTTTTTACCACACAAATCACTGGATTTGTGAGTGGGCTGGGATGCCCGAGTTGACAAAGTGAAGCATATTAATTCTGGAGCTTCAAATGAAAGTATTAGCAGATGCGGATACATTTATAAAATTCGGAAGTCAATATCAGACGAAACAAATTACTTTAAGACTTGGAGGTTATTAGCCTAGTCAGGAGTAAAGAGTGACCAAATAACTTACAAAAACCAGAATGACTTTGAGGAGCCAACATGGTAGCGCTGCCTGTGAATCAAGCGCAACCGATCTACAATATCCAATATCCTTTCACGAGCTGATTTGAACCAATTGATTACTACGCACGCGATTCTTGTTCTTTCAGCACGGTTTCAGATGTTTGGTAGTGTCCAATTAATGGAGGTCTAGCCATTCGACTGTCTAACTCTAGTCAGTTGGAAGTTGGTTGTGAGTTTACTATGTCTCGAGATTTGAATGAAAACGTTCGTTTCAGGGCCGTAGGGTCTTTCTGGATATCAGCAGCTATCACATTACCAGACCGGAGATCAGTTAGTTGCAATGTGGAGAGTAATAAGGATAATAAGGATAAAATTCTAATGCTAATATGAATAAGTTTTCAGAACTAAGCAATATATAGATGATTTAGTTTATTATTTGGTAGTAAAGATTGAGATACCGGACCGTCATGAATGCAAGAGAGAGGAAACAGACATAATAGGCGAGAGAGATTAAGTAAGTGATCTGAGGAGATGGCAATGATAATAACTAGCAGATCTCAAGATATGCATCATGTACAGCTTGTCCAAGAGGGAGATGATAATCCGCTTGTGAATACATGATTATCAAGTCTCTTCTTAAAGCTGTCCACTGAGGGGGCTGTGGTCACCTCGGCTGGGAGAGCATTCCAGGTTGCGACGACTTTGAAAAAGTGTGCACAAACCAGAGTATTCGCTCTTTTATGTTAGAATTTTTCGAGGATTGTCTCGAGGGAAGTGGTGATGCTATGCAAGATCTTATTGGCAGGCTTGAATCAAACTGATTGCTTTTATGTTCATTAATTGTTGTTCCCGCGTAGTTACAAGTTATTGATAATATTCAATAGGCAGTATTCCATCTTCCAAACTGCAATATTTCTAAACAGTTTGGTAGTTATTTTCGAATCAACATATAGTAATCTGAGTGTTTTCTCAGGGCAGTAGCATTTCTGGAGCCTGATTTCATTATTTTAACAGACATTAAGGTTCTTGCTTGTAGAGTGTACAACAATCATTGGGACATCAGATTGTGAAGAAGAGATGATTGTTTCTTTAGTTAGATAAATAAGTTTACCAATCAACAAAGCAGGCAGAGTGAGTAATTCAATTGTGAAGTTAAGTCAGAAACGACACTAGGCAAGACGGTAATCAGTTATTATTATCTGATAACAGCTGATGAATTTTTGGACGCAGCAATTACATGTATTTTTAGTTAGAGTCTGTGATCTATGGTAGGGAACTTTTTTGTCAAGTCTCCTGTCGATGAATTTCACTGAGAGAGCAACCATTACACTGGCAAAGTATAGATTTAAAGCCTAAGCAACTCTAGATGAAGAAAATAGAGGGCATATCTCTTTCTTAGTTCTTTTACTTGGGTTTCATCATATAGCGTAGTGATGATGTTATATTTCATTAGTTTTCTATATTATCTTCATACCATCGACATTCATTCCACAGATTATCGTAACTAACTTGTTATTAGTGGCTTCAGTGAAGTAGTCGAAGGCAGTAGGAGTTTGAAAGGTTGGAAAAAGCGTTCAGAATTTCTGAGGCAGTGCCTAGAGCATTCTAGCTAACACCATGTTGTTGAGAAACATTAATCACCTGCCACTCGCGCGACTCTAAAGCAAAATGAACAGAGGAATCTAGACTTGGAAATTAATAAATAAAGCCTTTCAAATATGAATGATTGGTTGTACCTACCTGAACTTTGAGTAAATGTGGAGGGTTTTCGTTGTGCGCAAATGATTTTATAATTGTTAAGCCATGTATGGTGGTTCATTAGCTTGATGCGTCAGCTTTGGCCTGTTAGTACTTATCGTGTCTGTTTTTATATGTTTTGTAACCCAAAATATTTAAGTTTTCTTGAATATCCCTTCGAATGAGTATTAGGTGGAACTCGTACGTTCTTGCATCTCAACTGGAGTTGTGTGCAAAAGATTTGATATTTTACTGAATATGTGTCATTAACCGTCCGGTTAAAATTTAAACATTCGATCAAGTAGATGAACCATGTGGCTCCATAAACTCACCTGGCAGTCTCATAGCTGTTATGAAGACCATTTCTCCTGTTAAACGCTGTAAATCAGCTTAAACAGCTGTCCTTATTCCTATTCTACACCCTGATTATATTTGGGCGTGATAATAGAGCTGATATAAACTACTATCCCATTAGCATAGGGATGATATGCTGAGCGCTGTATTCTGTTAAAGCCTCAAAGGTTCGATAACCTGTTTAATAGTTCAGGTTAGCATTAGGCTTTATGTCAGTTGTAGATAAGAGCAACTAAAACCAACACTCCTGAGTGAAAAATTTTGCCGGTTTTTCAGCAGTGAAGTCGGTTATTACAGTGGTTATTGGGAACTTTGTAACACTCTCTATGCACCTAGGTAAACAATTAAGACCCTTTAAACATGATAAAGTCCTTTTTAATGTATGTCTGGCTATGAGAAAACCCCAACAATAATATTTTTTGTTTTCAGATAACAGTGTGTCTCATGAGACGTGTTTACTTCTTATAAAGTTCTGAAAAATGAAACGACAGAAAAAGAGAAAAAGAACGGCGGTGCAATAAGACTTATGATCAGAGCATTTTCAAACGTCCTTAGTGAATCAGATTAGGTAATGAAAAGTCAGTAGATAAAACTCAAACTGGCTGCCAAAATTAAGATAAATTGCAATAATATAGTCTTCAAAATATCGGAAGTAAGGTAATAAAGAAAAATGAGTCGTGATGTGGATAAATTTAGAAAAATAGAAGTAATAAATTAGGAGTCTCTTTAATCAAGTCTAAGGTGTACGGAGAGTAAATTTTGTGAAAAGTTATACCATAAGTATCTCAGTAAGTTTTTATTAGGTTATCTCAGCAGAATGGCGACACAGCACTAAATTGTCAACACGAAGGTTAGGAATAGCAAACGCGGGAGGACAAACACAATATCACTGATTAGTCAACTCATTAATAAAAAACAGACTGAGGCAAACAAAATGTGCTACCCTATAAACATGGATGAAGCCGTATGATGAATAAGCTCTGAATATTTCCTACCCAAATTGTGTAACCATATCTGCAAGTTAGGCAATACATATCTAGTACTGATTGTTTTGGTGTATCAGATGAAATATGGAAATCGTTCAACATTAATTTTCTCGCTCTTTAGGAACGCATGGTAATCTTAGTTTCCTCGCCACAGACCAAACTCTTTACGATATTTGATGGAAGCTGCTTTACGTTGACAACATAGGTTTTTTTGAATGTAAATTTTTATATTCTCAGTTCACTCTGGCTTCCTGCTAAAGCTTCACAATTTATAGTCAGGTGTCGAATTATGTTTATTTTTAACGGAAACAATACCTCCGCTACATGATCTCTAATTTGCCACACGTCACTAATGAACTGCGATAAGAATTTAAGTTGTCGGATCTCATGAGGTGAATATTTATGGCCTTTAGCTTTCAATGCAATGCACCTCAATTACTCGGGGGTATATGATCTGTATTAACTGTAATTAGTCTGTCTCCCAACATGTGCTGTAAATGTTTGACGGCTAGGTAGATTGTTAAGTACTCAAGTCCAAAAACAGAGCTAGCCTTTCTGAACAGAATGCAAACAGTGGCCATGAGCTATCGACTGTTTAATCTGGGAGGCTGACTACTGCTTTGTCCGAAGCATCTACCACTTAGGCGAAGCACATTGGTTACTTCAATATAGATGTCCGTGCTAGCTTATTCTTCAGCTCATTGATGGCCTCAGAATTCAAGTCTTCATCTTTCAGTTTTTATCTGAGGGAATTTATCAACTGTTGCCTTAGGTATGCATAACCTGGGATCGACCGGTTACAAAAGTAAATAAAACCCTGAATAAGTTCTAGTTGTGTTAAGACACTTAGTGTAGGATATGGCTCAGTGATCTCTATCTCATTTTTAACTGATATTAATAATACAAAGTGCGCTGACTGTGCGACAAATTCTACAGTCTTGAATGCAAAAACACAATTACTTTGAAGTATGTTCATTCCATTTTCATCCAGCATTTTTAAAATTGCATTCACTTGCAATCCATTTGATGTTCATTCCGGACTGGTGATTTATAATAATACTGATGTTACTTTTCCATATCGACCACGTCTATGACCCTTGAAATAATTTTAAACCGGCTTAACTTCCAACCAAGAAATCCTATTACTAGCAAATGTGTGCAATCACGTTGAAAAAGAGATCACTCGTGACTTCTTGAGCTACGGCGTTAAAGAATCAACAAATGAGATTTAACCGTAGCATCAAATCACTATGCCTTATGTATTTACTCCACTTTTACGAAGAAAACTGCAATAGTCGAATAAAAACATTCGTTATTATAACCAATCCTAACGATGATTGTTTTACTAAACTCCTCGTTTATTCGTACACCGTACGCTCAGACTTCCAGTTTTTGTTGCTGCCATCTTGGTTATATTGCTCGTTGTATGTTTGCTCATATTCTTTAGCACGATCTCGCTAGTCTTTCGGTACCACGAGACCACCAGCAAGTACATGCCCTCTTCTGGCTTATATCTTCTTCTCTGTCTTTGGTTCACGACGGGATTACGATTTGTGGCGGGAACGTACTTCGTCTGTTGTGGTGATTATTGTCAACCTGGACTCGAGACACTACACTTCCTTGTTTTATTCTGTAAATCGACAAAATTTCTAGAAATTTGGTTCTTTTGAATTTCCTCTATTGATTCGATTATTTTCCCATTCGTTATCTTGCAAGGTGACTTATCTTCATCGGCCTACACAAATGCAAGTGTACGGTTAGTGTTGTAATACACAGGACAAGGTCTGAGTGACCATAACTTAATTATTTAATTCAAAAATGTATCTACTGATATATGGATCAGTTTTAAACAAGAATATTTTATGTTCTGCTCCTCGCCTTTTTCTTTCTTTCTTTCTCTTTTCTCGAACCTCATCCCACTTCCAAATATTAGCCTTGATATTGCCGAAGACTTGGTTGTATTACCCAAGAGTCTTTCAAGTTATAATCTG